TGCCAGCCAGCCACTAGCTGCCACACTAGAAGCCCCAAGCACACAGGGTCCCAGCCCAGACCCCTGGTGCCATGGTATACTACCTGTCTTGGCCATGACCCTTGGAGAGCACCTGCATCATAAAGGACCTCAGTAACATGGAGAAAAATGATTTTGCTCTAGGTTTTTAGACTGTTTCAAGAGGACATTGAATCCTGCGTTCTGTTGTCATTGGCTAATCTTCATGGTTGGAAAAGTGAAATGAAATCCTTTAGGGGGTATTAAGGGGGCTATTTTGCACTCCCTGTAACTCACACCATGGACTTTTCTGAGTGCCAGCACGCATCAGGAAAGGTCCTCTCTGGTTTTTAGTCAAAAGTTCCTAGGCCTGGGCTCTATTATCATATTAGTTTTAATATCCCAGGCCTTTAAAACACATCTCCTAAGCTGGGTTAGACAGCTACCATGAAGCCTGGTTTATCTGGGCTGGCCATCTCCACTGACCAAATAAACACAATCATTGTCAAATCTCACCTCCTCTGTTACTGAGAAGGGCAGGAAAGCCTAATTCAGCCTCTTGGGAGTCATAACAGGGATCTGGTCTAAAAGTTCTTTTAACATCATGAAGAGCATTAAGACCAAAATCTTTTAAAGGGCAAAGAGAAGGCCATATAAATATATATGTGTGTGTGATTAGTTAAAAAAATGTATACACACACACACACACACACACACACACACACATATTTTTAACTAAACTCAGAAAATAGGAATCCCTAACTATAAATTCAAGATTGGTACCAACAAAAACGTTGACAACACTCACCATAAGGAATGACATTCATGCAATGTTTTCCTAGTGAAGTAAAATTAAATGGCAACAGATCTGCTTCCTCTGATTTAACACAGAGAAAAAATGAGAAGAGGAAGGAAGAGAGGGAAGGAGAAAAGTAGGGAGGGAGGGAATGAATTAAAAATGGAGCAGCCACATACAAATCTCAAGTAACAAAAATGGAAAAATAGTCTGCAAATGCCACGGTATTTTGGGGGGGAATGTATTTGTCTGTCGGCCTCACACATGAAGAGGATGATGAATGTTCTGTGCCTGGCATACAGCACTTAAAATGTGAGCAAGGTATATATTATCACGCTATTCCTGAGTTATGAGATTCAACTCCACTTTGGTAAACATATTTTTACCCATTTTTAAATTTAATACAAAATATAAAACTTATTGCATTAATTATATTTTACCCTATTTAATTGTATTTAAACCAAATCAAATAGGAGCCAGGGTTCGCTACAGAATTAAATAAATAGGTGTAATAAATTAAATATACCTGTCCCGAACCCCACCACCACTATCACCTCATTGGAGAAGAGACTCAGAAAGTCATCAGAACCCTGTTTCCTGAAGCTTTGCTGGCCTCAATTCCTGGTCCTTGTCGTATCTTCCCTGTGACCTAATATGTGCCAAAATTTAATGTTTCAGGAAAATTTTAACCCGCATTCCCATGTAAGTATATTTGTTTCCTCAACTACTCATAGATTAAAAACTTTCCAAGGACAAGGAGAGTGACTTTAATATTTTGGGGTTGTACTCCCAAAGGCACTAGGGTAACATTTTGCATATAATAGGCACTCACTGAATTTTAATTGGCTGCTGATGAACTTTATTTGACCCCCTAATCCACCCTGCTCTTTTGTTGCCAGTAAGCAAACTCAATCATGGAAAGGATTTCCAGATGGAGACACCGCTGAAAAAATGAATTTTTCCATTTGGAAGTAAGAGTTGGCTTGCTACATGCTTGCCTGGCTTCCGCCTACTTAATTTCTCTCCTATATAATGTGTGAGCTGACTGCTTACCTCCCTCCGCCCCCCCACCACTCAATTATTTGAAGATAATAGAGTCCTCATCTTTTGTCATACACACCAAGTACCATGCTTAGCACACTGTAGAAACTCAGATATTGACCAATTATTGCATTGTTGGCTTTCAAATCATGACAACATCAGAGTCAGGAGCAACATTGGAAAGTGAAGAAGGAAGTAGGACCAATCCATTCTTGAAACTCTACTGTTGATTTAGCTCCCCTAACTAAATACAACAGATTCTGTCCAAGTTTAAGGAATATTAAACCCTCACAAACATACATATTTAGGAATCAAGATTGAATTTATGAAACATGCCTTTCTGTTAAAATTTTCCTTCAGTTGATTACATTGTTCCACTTTTTCAATGCCCCTAGAAAATGGTTTTGTTTGTGAATCCAAGTTCTCAGTGGACTAAGTTTGTTAACTGTATTAACATGTACCATACCTTGCATAAAAGAGGAAAAAAGATTGATCTTTACTGTGGCACAAGCATATATTTAGAAATATTTATTTAAGATAATGAAACTAGAAAGAAACATTTTCACACTTCCCAAAGTCAGAGAATTCTTTCTCCACCTTTCAACATCTTAATAATTTAACACAGACTAGATTTTCTACCCCATCAAAGGTGATCAACACATTGACTATTGACATTGTTACTAATATGCTGTGAGTGATAATATGGCTTCTAAAATTCCTTATGTGTTCACCCTATAATACCTCTCCATCTATATAAACTTCAAGTCAGCTGAAAGTAGAGGCATATCTGCCCAACAGAGACCTAGTTCATTGCTGATTCTCAATAAAAGGTATATTGACTTATTCGTTTCTTAGGCTCATTTTTCAAAAATCTAATATAAACAACCTCCTTTTTGTATCAAATTTACAATTTGTTCCAAAAATTTTTAGAGTAGTAGCCAAATGTATGTCATTATACATGTTCATAATAAAACTTAAAGAAATATGTGGGATTTATTCATGTTAGAATTTCAAGTAGAGTTATCAGTAAGCCAGAGGAAATTTAACAGGGTGAATGGAGTTTGGGATGGGAAGGACATGCGTGTAATTAGAGGTATTACTAAAGAATTGTTTAGAAGGTGTTCTTAATATTAGGATTATTCTACTTGATGACTGTTACTAGCTATACTCGGTCATGGTGCCAATCATAGACATAGTAGATCAGTGTGCAGTTATAAATATTCTTGAGCACAAAATTAATACATACAACCATCTCTTTCTTTGCATAGCAGTTGTTCATTTTCTGATACTTATCAACCTGTTTTAAAAATAATTGTGTGCATTTCTTATCTTTTATTATTACTGTAATTAGAATAGTCTCATAAATATTTGTATTCACTGTGTTCCTCCCCACAAAGGGCAACTACCTAAAGTGTAGCCCAAAGCCAGGGATTAAACCTAGTCCTCTCCCCCTATTTGTTGCCTCCCCCTCTTTTTTAAAATTTTAAACAAGAAGTTTATTTAAAGATGCTTTACTTGAATGGAAAACTATCTAGGATTCATTTCTTTTAGAGTAATTTAGACCTCCCGAAAGACAGATTGCTCTACATGTAACAGCTATGTGAAAAAATGTTATAAATTTGTCCTTGGTTTTACAATGATAAAGAAAAACATTAAAATTCTCTAATTGGACAAGATGTGCAAGGATTTTTATGGTTTGTTGTTGTTGTTGTTGTTAAATAGTGAGAGCACTTCCTGGAATATAAAAATAAGAGCTGAATGAGCATACTAGCAATGGAGAAATTTATTGTTTTAAAAATCAATTATTTCCAATTTATAAGCAGGACAGCATTCTTACACACTAGCCCTACTTATTATTTTTACTTACTGATTTAAATGACATCAAATTCGCTTTCTGGTTCACTTTTAGCTTCCTTTTCCTAAAGCTAGTCTCTTATCTCCCTAGAATGGGTAATTCCTGGTCCAGGAAAGGTCTGACTTGGGATCAAACACAGGCGGCCTCATGCTTTGTGATATGAAATGCTAATGAGGAAGCCAGGCTCTAAGCCATAAGGATTTCTTATCTGCCTGCACTAAGCTGCCCCTGAGAAGGGGAAACCCGCGAAGGAGGACTGACCCGGCCGATGGACCCTGTCCGCCTTTGCTCCGGCCACTTTGATCTCGCCTGCCTGCCTAATCAAGTTCATCTACTGCCGAGACTGCTCAGATTCAAAGAACTACATTAAATAGTTTGATTATCGGATGGCCATTTTCCTCTTCCCCCCACCCATGATCTAATTTCCAAACACCAGTCTCTCGCCTCCCGCTCTAAACTTCCCATCAAGAGAATTAGTTCTCCTTCCTTTAAACCCTCGTTTGATATGCAAATTCCGTTCTATTTGCACATTTTTCTAACTGTGGCACACAGGGTGGGGAGGGGGAGCGGGAAAAAAGGAAAGGGGGAGGAGTTCAATGAACTTACAGCCAAGGAACTCGCCCCAAATCTGCAAACCGTGACTCTAAAGGGTTAATCAGCAACTTGCACTGGACAACTGGCCCTTCGGGCTGAGATGTTTTGATTGAGACTTTGAATTATTGATCAGGTTTTATTTAATACTGAGTATTATTTATGTGCAAAATAAACCAGCATTGATAGAATGGAGAGAGGAGAAAGTGCTTTTGCAGAGAACATCACTATTCCCGGTCTGAAAAGTATTTCAGATCCCGGTAACCCAACCTCTACTGCAAGGCAAGGGCACCCGAGTTCCTGAAGCTCCTCCTCCCTCCTGCATTTATTAAAGTCGTCTGCTCTAATGCTCACTGATTACAATCACCCCGAAGGTGAGCTGGTCCAGGGGAACTACTGCGCAAGGGAGGGGCGGGGTGAAGAGTGTCAAAGGCCCCCCTTCATGTACACAAACACACCCCCTCCCAGCCCCTCCCAAAGCTTTGAAATCCCATCCCGGCTTTGTTGTCTCCCCCGGAGGGGCCGGAATGCTGCGAGCCCACGGTATAAAGGCAGCCGTGGCGGTGGCGCAGAGCTCCGTGCGCCCCGCAGTCTGGACTGTGGGACAGCTGGAGACTCCGGGGAGCCTGACCTGCAGCCGCACCAGCACAGCTTCTTCTGGGGATCAGGCTTGCAAAGTAATATTCCTCCTTTCTCTTTCTTTCTCTCTCGAGTTCTGAGATGAAGGCCCTGGGCGCAGTAGGGGCTGCCCGGGTCTTTGTCGCCCTGGTAGCTGCAGCTCTTTGCAGCCACCCTCTGCTCGGAGTGAGCGCCACCTTGAACTCCGTTCTCAATTCCAATGCCATCAAGAACCTGCCCCCACCGCTGGGCGGCGCTGCTGGGCACCCAGGCTCACCAGTCAGCGTGGCTCCCGGAATTCTGTATGATGGAGGCAACAAGTACCAGACCATTGACAACTACCAGGTGAGAAGGGTCTTGAGAACCTGGGAACACTGTGACCCTGAAGAGGTGTCATCTGGGCAGAAGGGTGTAGAACGTGCTGAATGTGTGCATTTCAGGGAACATTTGGAAACTGCATTTGGGAGCAGGGGGCGGCAATAACTTTTAGACAGGTGGGCAGAGAAGGACTGTGATGAGCATCCAGGTCCAAGAGTGTGGGTACCTGGATGCCTCGGTGCCTCATCTTCTCCCGGCCCCCTTCCCGCAGCCGTACCCATGCGCAGAGGATGAGGAGTGCAGCACTGATGAGTACTGCGCGAGTCCCACCCGCGGAGGGGGCACCGGTGCGCAGATCTGCCTCGCCTGCAGAAAGCGCCGAAAACGCTGCATGCGTCACGCTATGTGCTGCCCAGGCAATTACTGCAAAAACGGTGAGTTCCTTAGCTCCCCTTCCACTCGAACTGGCCCGCCTTTGCTCGCCTGCGGCTGGGGGGAAAGAAACGAAAAAAAAAAAAAAAAAAAAAAAAAAATCCCAAACGCTTTCTGCTTTGAGAATGTTACAGCGCCACCAGCAAATGGGTATCCGGTCTGCAAGGTTCGCTTCCCTTAAACCGTCTTGTTAACGTGTTTATATCAGAGGAGAGAAAAGTACAGAGGTCTTGGAGCTCTTTATTTTCCTCTGTGCCCCTCAGTGATTTAACACAATGGCTTATCTCAGAGTGGGCTCCTCCATAGAAACTGGTCTGGGACAGCCTTGATGTCATTTGAGAAAGAAAATGGGGAGGGAGGTGGGATGATACAAAAAGACCAAGGCAAGTACCGTTGACATTTACCTGCCCTGTCCATTTTTCTTACAGTACCTCTCACGGCTCTGCCAGTCTGGCTTCTCCCTCATGATCCCCGTTGAAACTCTTGTCAGCCAGAAGACAGCGATTTATCTGTGCTGGCCATTTTTAAGGGCGATCTTGCTATCCTCCATCCTGGCTTCTCCATCCTTTCCCCTACTTCCACCTCCTGCTACCTTAAAATAAGTACTCCTTCCCACAACCACAGATCCACTAAAATTTAATGTCTCAAAGAGGTAGACTCAGGCAGCCAAAGAAGACTCCAGAAATAAACTTAAGAGTGGTAATCCTCCTTCGGACCCAGTAATACTCCGGGATGAACTAACTAGATCTTCGTGATATAGAAATTACACAGTAAAGTAACTGGTGGGTGAAATTGCAATCTTCCAGGGAGATGGTATTGCATTTGCTTAGCTTAGTCTGGCAGTACTAGTATAGCACAAAGGGCAGAAAAGTTATTTTTAAAAACTTTTTTACATGACCGACTTTTTACTCCATGGGTGATACTAAAATGGGCAGAAATATCACTGTTATTACCTGAGTTGTTAGGAAAGTATTTTAAATGGCTATATTGGGTATGCTACGTATGACTGCATAGTGTACACGTTGATACTTCTGCCCATCTGGGGAGTTTTGCACTCACACTAAGGAGGAAGTTTGGCTTGTGTTTAAAATCATGTCACTGTAATGAGCTCTCTCAAGTTGGTGCAGGCATAACAGGTTGCCACTGTCACAGCTCTAAGTAGTAACACATTACGGTGCGAGAATTAATCACCATCTCCTGCTTCCTCAGGAATATGTATGCCTTCAGATCACAGTCATTTCCATCGAGGGGAAATCGAGGAAACTGTGATTGAAAGCTTTGGTAATGATCACAGCACCCTGGATGGGTACTCCAGAAGAACTACACTGTCTTCAAAAATTTATCATACCAAAGGTAGGTTTAGGGACCTGAAGACTCATTTTTCTTTGTTAGCACATAAGTGTCTTTTGGATTATCTTAATGAAATAATGCAGTTTTAGCAGTGACAACGTTCTTACTGTCTTTTTTTCTAGGACAAGAAGGTTCTGTCTGTCTGCGATCATCAGATTGTGCTACAGGCTTGTGCTGTGCTAGACACTTCTGGTCTAAAATCTGTAAACCTGTCCTCAAAGAGGGTCAAGTGTGCACCAAGCACAGGAGAAAAGGCTCTCACGGGCTGGAGATATTCCAGCGTTGTTACTGCGGAGAAGGTCTGTCTTGCCGGATACAGAAAGATCACCATCAAGCCAGTAATTCTTCTAGGCTTCACACCTGTCAGAGACACTAAGCCAGCTGTCCAAACACAGTGGACTCCTTTATATAATATATGCTTTGAGAACCTTATATGAATTTTGCCAGCTCAGTCCTTAAGGATGTACAAAATCTGTGGTCACAGTTAAGCATTCCAATAATACCTTCTGAAAATCGGAGTGTAAGAGCTTTGTTTCTTTATGGAACTCTCCTGTCATTGATTGCAGTAAATTACTGTGTTGTAAATTCTCAGTGTGGCACTTACCTGTAAATGCAACAAAACTTTATTTTTTCTAAAGGTGCTGCATTGTCTATTGTTCCTCTTGTTATGTAAATTGTTGTACACATTGATTGTTATCTTGATTCTGATAAATATTCTATATTAGACTAATAAATAACTTTAGCTTTTATTTCCAAAGTGCATAACCCTTTCCCCTTTTAATTCTAGAATCTAGATTGTAAGGAGCTTTTAGAATGACAAATGATAAGTATTTAAAATTTATCATAAAAATACTAGCTTATTTTCTGAAATGTACTATCTCAGTGCCAGATATATATATATATATCTATCTATATAGAGAGATATATCTGCTGCGGTAGTCCTTGAAACAAAAATTTACACTTAATACCATGAAATGTTAGAAGTATAGATAAATTTTGACTTTGTGACCTTAAGGGGGTGTGTTTGTGTGTGTTGTACAGGGATAGAAATGTGACATGGGGACAGACAATTAGAGAAAAATGTTGTCTAAATGTAAGGCAATATTGATTGATTCTTGAGTAATTTTAAAGAAAAATATACTCTTCATTGACAAGCTCAAATGATGATGGTGTAAAGGATTGAGTCTTACATTACTACTTTCAAATAATAGTTTCCAATAAATTAGTAATATCTACCCAAATGGTTAACTATTGGGCAACAAAGGAAATTTCCAGCAAAAGCCAAACCAGAGCTAAAGACTTGATGGTTAGCAGGAAGAGGTTGTGTATAAGTAGAAATGCATTTAACAAGTACATGCAGTTTTGTACCAAGTTAAGTGAATTTGAAGTATCTTCTTAAATACTATTTCATGCCAGGAAGACTAGTTCTAATTATTTTGATTTTAAAATAATTATTAAATAAAAGCCACAAATCCTCTTTCATGATCTTCTTTTCATCTCTTGCTAGGTGAGTTGAATATTTCCATTTTTGCTTGATCTGAATTCTGTTGATTAGAATAAGGCTATGGGTATATTGTTTAAAGGAAAGGCCACAGAAATGAAATCAAACTGGCTTTGCATTTTTTACCTGCCAACTTCGATATTGGCAAATCTAATACTGGGGAAAGGGTAAGCAACTGTCTCAATTTATACTTATTCTCTAATATACTGAAGTCTACATCAAAACCACAAAATGTTGGGTTTAAGGCACTCCAAAGATCATGACTGATCAACAAGTTTCCTTAAATAAGGCAGATGTCCTAAAATGTTTATTGTTTTAGTATTCCCGGAAGTGGTTCAATTTCAAGGGGCTCAGCCAAAGGGCTACAAGTGTTGGTTGGTTCTTCCCTGAGAAGGGGGCTGGCAGGATGTCTGCTGTTACATTCCTTTTGTCTGGAAGTTTCAGCTTCCTCACTCTAGAGAAACTTTCTTTTTCTACATGTACTTGTTTTCTGAAGTGCCAGGAAGGCCAATTCTAAGGCCTGCCATCTCCAATAAAACACAATAGAGGAGAGGAAACAGGAAACCCTTTCTTCAAAAAGAAGAAAGAAAGGCCTCTGTTTAAGAGGAGAAAGGAGGGCAGTTAAAGGGCTTGGTTATGGAATCCCTTCCTTTCTACAGGAACCGACTTGGGCCAGACTCTCTCTGTCTCTACACATCTCAGTACATCAGCCACAGTTCTAGCCCTTTTTACCTCCCATCCCATGATAGGGGCGGGAGAATGAGAAAGTCATTAAGGAGGGACACTGCTTCTTCCTATCCAGCTGAGGTATTAGGAAGAGTTAAAAAGAAATTCAATTCTGTGCATTTACAAAGGTGAAAAGAGACTACCAAGAAAACTGTAGATGCTTTATTAGCTTAGCTATTTATGGAGGCTGAAAGACAGAAGCGGGATACAATAGAAATTCAAAAGAGAATCATTTAAGGATCTCCGACATTTTAGATAGTGGCTGCCTAAAATATGTATATGACTTTATTTTTAAACAGTTTATCTGAATGGAAAACATGTACTTGGGAATGCATTCACAAGGTATTTGATCAAATTGTAGGCACTGTGCATGCTGCCCTGCATCGTGCCCCCTTTTTTTTTTTTTTTTTACCCTTGATGTGTCTTGCAGGTCACATTCTATGGAATATATAACAAGGTGCCTCATTCTTTTTAAATGGTTGCCTTTAACTGGTTGCCTTAAGAGTACAGTATGTTGGAATGGCTATACCATAATTTACTTCAAGTGATTATTGAGAGACATTTAAATTGTTTCCAGTGTTTTTGCTATAACAAATATTGTGCCATGACCAGAGAATTTTTATGTTGTTGTTCTTGTGCCAGTATACTTATAGGATAAGATAATGACTGACTTCTGAAGCTAAATCCAAAATCAAAAAGCATGCTTTCTGTAGCTACTCATAAGGAGTGGCATGGGCAAAATATCAAGATGCCTGCTTATCACTGTTCTAGTGATGATTAAACTCCTGCTAAACTGTATCAAAGGAGGAAGAGGGAAATACAGGCTTATCCTAACAATTTCACAGTAAACAGTAATCTCTGGCATTCAATTAAATGTAGACTTTGTCTAATTCCTTTGATTTTAAAATAATTATTAAATAAAATCATGAACACCTCATTCCTCCATCCCTGTTTCTTGTTTTGCTAAAAAACTTACATGTTTCAAATTTTGTTTAATCTGAAACCTATTGATAAGAATGAGAGTGGAGATATATTGTTTTTAAAAAAGCAGATACACCACCTAAGTATGGTTATTCATACTGAAACACTTTATGGATTGTTTCCATGGTAAATCAAATTATACCAATTCAATTATGGAATTACTAACAATTGTACTGTTATAAATTCTATCAGATTTAGTATTTCTAAATACATTGTCAAATTAGCATGCATTGCCACTTATGGAAATTTCAGGTGAAATCATTCAATTTCCCTTTTTTTAAAGCTGTATGAATTATCTAACTATCATGCTACCAACTTGCTTTTATAGTCTTAATGAAAAATAGGTAATGCTACCATTAGGTACATAAAATGTATTCCACTGAGTTTTGGATTACAATTTTCATACCTCCTAAAATATTACTCTGAGTGCAGTATCAGAAAGCAGAAAATAATCTCACGTAATTTATGAATTTGATGTTTGTACAAATGTGTATATATATGTGGGCCTTTACATGTTTGTCCTAATGGCAACTGCTTAGAAATAGTCAATCGTATTAATAATCTGAGACTGCAATCTGGGTGATGTTAGGAATCTTAATCCAATAAATTGATTAAGCCTGCCATGCATAGTATGCACTATGCTGGCATTCAAAATCATGCACACATTTAAAATTATGTTAGCTACTTGAGCATCAAGAAGCTCACCATTTAGCAAAATGATAAACAATGTTGAGTGCTGGGGGTTGGTTTGTATAGTGGTTAGAGATGCAGTCTCTGGAATCAGACAGACTTGGGGTGGAACTGTGGCTTCTTCAGTTAACTATCTGATGTTGGGCAAAGGATATAACCTCATTGATAATAAAAAGAGAATACCAATCTTAGATTGTAGATGTGAGAATAATACATGCAGTATCATGCTACTTAGTAAGCTACTCATAGTAAGCACTCAATTTATATATTTACTATTGAACAATAAAATATTTTAGAGTAAGATATATAATAACATGTAGTAAGAGATATATAGATACATATAGATATATCTGACAACAGATTAAAAAGTAATGAAATCAGCATGTGGGTGCTCTCAAAAAGCTTCAGGGAAGCTATGGTATTTAGACCATTTTCTTTCCAAGGAAAAGAAACCATTTAAACTAGAGAAAATGAAAAAGATACATGGATTGCAATGCTACCATTCATGAAAAACAGCATGAAAACCGTTCTGCAGACTATTTCATTGGCTTGCTAATGACTTCTGTTCTACTGTAATTTGCAAATGTCTATGGCTTGTCCTCCCAATATAAACGACTTTCAGACTCAGCTCTGCTCAGCAAACCACTTAACCTCTCCCAAACTATTTCAAATTTCTGGGCAAAGGTCCTGTTTGTCTCAGCTTTGATCAGGGATTTGCCTCTAGTCAAATGGGCTAGATTGGCTACCTGGATGCGAAAATGCAAACATGGCTGACTCCAACCAGTATATCTTTAATAGGCACTTTGGTAGTTCTACAGGAAGGAGTGTGTAGAAACTGTCAACACATATTAGGTCTACCACATATTAGCTCTGAAGGATGAGGAGTTGACAGGTAGAAAAGCAATGAAAGCGTATTAGAAATGGAGGAAGTAATATGAGCCAAATTACAAAGCTATACAAATAAAAAATATATACTATGTAAAAAAAAAATGGGGTGGGTGAGTGGGGAGGAATAACCCACTATGGCTAGAGTGCAGGAGACATGGGAGAAGGACTTTTCAAATTTTTTGCAATTTAATTTGTTATCCAAGGAACAAAAGAGAAAAACTCTTCATTTGCAGCAACGGTTACCATACTAGGTGTTGATGAAATTGATGATATGATTGAGGCATATTTTATCTCAAAAGATTACTAAATTGTCTTCACAAGCCAGGTGACTTTTTTTTTTGCCAAAAAACATTATAAAGTAAGGATAATATTTTATTTTCAGCAAGAATAGTCCTATCAGGTGGAGCTGGAGTTAAAGAAATTATATTTGAGACAATTTTGTTTTTGACTTATGTAATACACAGCTATCACAAATTATGGTGAAATTTTTTGTCAAAAAGTTATGAATTAAAATATGATGCAGTCTCTAAATATCAATAATTGTAAAACTTCATTGAAGGCCAGTGATAGCTGACCTCCTGCAGTTATAACTATTAATCAAATTCTATTTAAAAAGTGTAAGTGGAAGAAGACATGAAGCATGTCTGAGCATGATA